GGTGATAGGGGGCGGCATCCCCCCTCTTTGTGGCATATCGCTGCAGATGGCCTTGATTGGCACTATGCCGTAAATGGGCAAGGTGACAATGTCTCTTTAACCAATGACACCTAAGTTGACCCTTTCCAGTATATACTTACCTTGAGACGCAGAATATAAAGTCCCAATCACTGCGAAGAAGTCCACTGGCAGTGCTTGGTGCTAGGTACTCAATGACTGATACAAGGGTGAGCACATGTCGTGCCTACAAGATCTGTCTGCTTTTGGTAGCCCTAAAGGTGCCATTTTTGATTTTGACAGGAATGTGGAGGTATTTGTGATGTCTGTGGGGACATTGAAAGGGAGAAAGCAGCCACGGCTTATTGATGTTCACAGGGAAAAGCAGGATTTGCTCAGCTGACCTTTTCCATGGTGCACCTATGTAAGAGCGGATCTATACGGCGTCATGTCGTTCAGTTATTGCTTGAAAGAACTCTGCATAAAACTGGACATGTTTCTTGTGATTTCAGATAGGCAGCTGATTGTAACTTTTAGGCCTCATGCACATGCAACGCAAGAGCAAAATTGTATATGCGTGCACTATATGCAATCCCAGAATGCATCATTCGTAATAGAAATTTTAATGAACTGTACGGGCGTAAAATACGCAGAAATACATTGCCTGGATGCATCCCGGCACTCGTTTAGCCCAGAGCAGTGTTTCCGGGGCAAACTTTTATTAACCCTTGCAGTGGGGCTACCCCTGTCCTGCAAGGGTTAACTGCTTGTTTTTGTCTAGGTGCTAAAAAAACAACTTATACTGACCCGATCCTCTTAGCCGGCTTGCTCTTAGACCGGTCCTTCCGCGTCTTTTCCCCTCCTCTGCAGTGGTCTAAGGATCCTCGAGTCTTCACGTCCATTGCATTGTGGTAATAAATGAGGACGTTGAGGGACATATCATCGCTGCAGTGTAGAAGGAGACAGGCTGGAGGGAGCGCTGTTACAGCCTGCCGGCTACGAGGTTCGGGTAAGTATAACCTTTTTTATTTTAGTACCTAGACGAGAACAAGCAGTTAACCCTTGCAATACGGAGGTAGCCTCACTGCAAGGGTTAATGAAAAATTTTCCCTGGAGTATACGCCCTCATTCACACTAGAAACGGCCAGCACGTACAGCTCCGTGCTGCGTGCCCAGCCGTATCGGGCAGCTCCCAGGAAGGACAGGTGCTGTGTGTGATTAGTACGCAGCCCCCGTCCTTCTCTATGGGAGTACGTGGCCGTACACCGCCCTGCACGTCGGTCCTCGTACGCTGACAGGACGGATCCTGTCTGCGTCCAAGCCAGGAAACACACACCACCACGGACCTGCACTTGAGGTGAGCTTAGGGGGTCGTACGGCCGCGTACTCCCATAGAGAAGGACGGGGGCTGCGTACTAATCACAGGCAGCACCTGTCCTTCCTGGGAGCTGCCCGATACGGCCCCGCACACAGCACGGAGCTGTACGTGCCGGCCGTTTCTAGTGTGAATGAGGGCTAACTCCATTTTCTATTTACCATGGTAATATCACAAAG